GCCTATGCAAAACTTTACTCCTTCACATGGCATACCCGAGTTATTTCTAACCTTTTCCTAAAAATAACTCTCTAAAATTGCTTTCCACATGAAACTTTCTGCAGTTAATCACAATCAATATTATATCTCAAATATTTTCAGTACTTCTATAATCTTTTACCATATTAATTTTGATCCACTTATATATTTTTGCTAAGCAACTCTATTCCCTAAATTCTCTGGGAACCAAATTATATTCCTTTCTTTCTAATACCTTTACAAATATATGTAACCATTTAATAATATACAGAAGGCCCTCAATAAATGCTAAATAAAATGATAAAAATGAATTTTAAACTTTTATATATGGCTAGAGGCCCGATGCACAAAGATTAATGCAAGAATGGACCTTCCTTCCCCTGGCTGCTGGCACCGTCTTCATTCCAGCCTAGAGCCACCTTTCCACCTCCCCACTGCCCAGATGCCCGGAGCAACTGGAGCGGGGCGGAACGCCTGCATTGTTACCATGGTGTCCCAACCTGCCCCTGGCCGCTTGGTGACTGTGTATGCAAATTAACCTGCCATCTTTGTTGGGTTAATTTGCATACTCACTCCTGATTGGCTGGTGGGCATTGTGAAGGTATGGTCAATTTGCATCTTTCTCTTTTATTAGTGTAGATTTTTTGCAATAGAAATCTCACTGTCACCCTAACTGGTTTGGCTCAGTGGATAGAGCATCGGCCTGCGGACTGAAGGGTCCCAGGTTTGATTCCGGTCAAGGGCATGCACCTTGGTTGTGGGCACATCCCTAGTAGGGAGTGTGCAGGAAGCAGCTGATAGATGTTACTCTCTCATCGATGTTTCTAACTCTCTATCCCTCTCCCTTCTTCTCTGTAAAAAAATCAATAAAATATATTTTTTTTAAAATCTCTGTCTTTAATTTTTCTTTAAATATTCTTAGTAAGCATATTAGTAATTAACAAATATTTATTCTGATTTCAAAAATGTTAGTCTGTTTATTTTATCAATATTCCTAGTAAGTTGTTCTAATGCTCATTGACATACATATGTAGAAATTAGTTTAACTTTAGGCATTCTGGATAAAACAAATGCAACCATTTTTTATATAATGCTTTACAAATTAATTAATTTTTACTTACATTATTACTTACATTCTTTTCTTTAATCATCATAAACTATCATTTGAGGTATTTGTATTAACCACTTTTTGTAGTATGGAAATCTGAAGCCCTGACTCAAATTTATGATGTATGGTAGAGTCACAATACAAACCAAATCTTCCCATTTCAAATGTATTGCTCTCTTTATATTAAACCATGTACATTTAGTTCTAGTTTTACCTTGAAAGTCCTTACTTCTGTTACTCTGCTGGTTGAGAGGGTTGTAGATGATTGACATGTGTGCCTGTTCTCAAGGAGCCTACAATCTAGCCACCTAATCAGATATCTTAATGATAATATGCTAAATGATAAGGGTAAGGAACACAGAGGAAATATACCTGGGCATTCAGAGAAGGCTTCTGGCAAGATATAAAGGCTAGGCTAAGGTAAGAAGTGAGTCAGCTGCAGAAAACCAGAAAATACAGAGAGATTTGAGAATTACTTAAGAGATTAAAAACAGAATGTCCCAAAGAGGTCTAAATTCAGAGATGAGAAAGAAGACTTCATCTATGAGGATTCTCAGGTGTCTGGGTGAGGAATTCAAGCAGATTAGGTTGAGGAGTGGGAGACAGATGATGACTGAGTTTGAGGCACATAGAATCTGAGGTTCTGTGGAACATGTACATGGATCTGTGTGAGGTAAAAACTTGAGTGAGTAGTTAAGAAACATCAGGCCTGGAGATGTGGAATAATTTAAAACTATGAGTCCTATTTAAACACATTTATACCCACTCATATAGTGAAGAACTAATCACTGATGCATTGTTCATAAAAGAATGATAAGAGAGAAAGTAACTAAAGCAAAACACCAAGTCGTCAATATCTAAAAGTATTAGATAGGCAATTTTTATGATGATGTGTCATAAAGTTTGACTCTGCTTTGAATTCTCTCCCATATTTGCTAAAATAATTTTCATGTGATGTATTTATAGTAATTTTCAATTTTACATGCTTTATTTCTGCCTTAAAACTCACATTTACGATAATCATTTTCTCCATCAAGATAAATGTCAAGTGCAGTGCCACCAAACAGTGCAAGTACATTGCTTACAAAATATTGAAAAAGATTCAAAGATAACAATTAAAGAAGAATACTCTTCTATTACTTACAGAAAACTATAGCCCTTAAGGTACAGAGTATGTAACTAAAATGACAGGATGATCACTTAAGAACCTGTGGATTACTAGGAGTATTTGATATTTATAATTGTAAACTACAAAACAATATTGAAGAAATGTGTCAAAGTATTTGTAGAACAGATTGAAACCATGTGCATCTAAATGTACAGGTTCATAATGCCTAGTATATAATTCCCAAACCTATACACTCTATAAACTGATATTTTGTTGTGTGTTGCAACCTTGATTGGTGGTAAAACCAGGCCTGTACTAACATGAGACATTTATAGGTTTTTTTTCCATACAATAGAAATATTCATAGAATTATCTTCAGATATGTAAATGTGTATTTATGGGGTTCTATCCAGAATCCATCTGCAGAAGTATTTCATAATATTTATTACATATATACAAAACACTAAGGAAAATTCTGAATTCTAAAACACCTGGCCCCAAAGTGTTTGGATAAGAGATTAACTAAAATTCAAAACTTGAAATTTTAGGTCATGTTATAAACCAGATATTCAACACAAGTGAATTTCTAGAATTAAAATTTTTCATTCTTATACCTTTAAGAATAGATTTATCTATACAATATCATTATGCTGAAAACATTTCCAGCTTTTTTTCTTTTCCCCAAAAAATACCTTGTTCTAGTACTTTCTATCTTCATCATCCTTATGAAATAATCACTCATTTTTATAAAGATAGAGAAAAAATTTTCAAAAACCCAAATTATTTTTAGAATCACTTTGGTAGGGTTAGGATCCAAATCAACATCATCAGGCTTGAATAAAATATGAAAAGATAAATGTAGGAGGGATACATGCATATTCTTACACTTAGGACCAAAGGGTTAACTTCCAAGAAGAGTAGGGAAAATGGGAACACAGGTAACATTTTTGCAACTCAGTTATAAGTTGACTACTGTCCCAGGACATACTGAAAGTATGTTGAAGCTGCTCTCAAATATAATACAGTCCTATGCTTCTGATAATGAAACACTCTACCTAGAAAGAGAAATGATTGTCCCATTCTATGCTTGTCACAGAAGATAATGAATAATATGTTTGGTTCAGGGACCACCCTTTAATAGCAGCATTGACCAACTCAAATAATCCTAGTGAGGAGTAAACATGATGTGATCACTCTAGAAATTACCTTATGAAGAACAATTGCAAAGCCTGAAATGTCTAGCTTTAAGAATAAAATTATTGATGAAATTTTTGAAATGAATCAACTCATTCTGTGTAATTAGACACACCAGTGTACCTACAGGTGAGAGTTACTGGAAATATTATTATATCTCAAAACAAGACTAGCTGGCTGAAAATGAAAAGAACTAGGACACGAGTTATCCATATAGAGTTACGGGATTACCTAATGGGGGTGTGAAAAAAGTTTCTAGGTGGTCCTTTCCATTCTGATAGTCATCAGTACCTCAACACCACAGTGTAAGTTAATAATACAGCTGGATTTAGAATTTCATCAACTTTCATTGTATACATTTTAATATTTATGAAAGCATAATATTTACAAGATATAATTTCACAGATAGAAGTAAACTCTTCAACATTTGCTATATTGTATGTAAAGAAGAGGACCAATTTTTTGTATATATATATATATATATATATATTTTTTTTTTAAATATACTTTATTGATTTTTTACAGAGAGGAAGGGAGAGGGATCTCTAGAAACATCGATGAGAGAAAAACATCAATCAGCTGCCTCCTGCACACTCCCCACTGGGGATGTGCCTGCAACCAAGGTACATGCCCTTGACTGGATTCGAACCTGGGACCCTTGAGTCTGCAGGCTGATGCTCTATCCACTGAGCCAGACCGGTTAGGGTTTTTGTATATTTTACAAAAAAATAGAGTATATATTGGAAGTTATTATTAAAAATCTTGTTCATTTTCTTAGCTTTTTTTCCATACCTCAAATAAACACAAGTATGCTACTCTTAAATAAGAAAATTAACTTTCATTACTAACTTTCTATATAAATAATCTGGAAATCCTTAAAATTTTATATCATTTTTTTATAAAATGATATTCTTCACAAAAATATTCTAAAAAAAATAACTCATCTAACAATTTTAAGTTTGTGAGAATGGTGCTGAACTTTTGCTCTTTTTCTAATTTCCAAAATAGTTTATTAAAAGAAACTGGTTGAAACGTTTCTGAGTGGAGAAGGCAATACATCAATAACTCCCAGAATTTTTAAGCAGGTGTTAGGCATTTTTAAAGAAATATTCCTAACGCTGTCTAAATAAAAATAATTAGTAGTTTTCCAAACTGTTATCACTTCCAAAGATAGAACACACAACTGAAAATGGAAAGCACATACTTCCAAATGTCATGATTGTGTTTAAAAAGCAAGGAAGAGAAATCAACTGTTCCCATATTCTGGTGATCAACAGGTGATTTTTCCGCCCCCACCAAAACATACAGATTAAATTTTTAAAAAAAAGAAAAAGAAAAGACCAGATAGAAATTCATGCTTCACACTTCCCATCACCAACATACCACAATTTTCTTTGAGGCAAGGTTTTATGTGAATTAGTATCGATTCTTAATTTGTTTCTCACCAAAACATGCAGACCATATATTATACAGGGAAATGTAATTATAAGAATGGAAATAAAACAAAGCTTACTTAAGTCTTATCATATTTTCAATTGCAGTTGGAAGGACAAATGCTACCAGGAAGCATACCTGTGGCAGGGCTGAGTTGAGCTGTCTCTGGAGCGAATCTCTGTCGTAGATGACATCCTGCAGTCTTTGCTGGGCAAGCGAAAGGCTTTCTTGGGTCTCCCGTAGGGTGTCTAGAAGACGGTCCCTTTCATCAAGCATATTCACCATCAGCTGCTCAAAATGGGAGTCTGAGTCCGAGCCACTGCTTTGGGACCCCCTTTGGCTCATTGGGGTGTCCTCATTAATCGTGGGCATCACTTCACACATCATTGCTTAAAGAAAGTAAAGGGGAGGGGAGTTTAGTAAAGAAATGTTTTCCAAAAATGCTGCCCAGGCCTCAACCCAGCAAATGCTTTGCAGCTCCTTAGCCTAATTGTCTCTTTTTCCCTTATTCCAAGCAAACTAAATATTTTGATCTCAAGGAAAAGTGATTATTTTTTCATTATTTATTCCACCTAATTCAATTTATAGTAACATGTTGCTACATTTATTAATTGGTCACCTTTCTTCCCCTATAAATTTACAAATCCCTTATTGCTAATACCTTCATGTTATCTTTATTTGTTATATTGTTAACCACAAGCAGGGTCTGCCCCTTAATGGGTGGGCAGTAAATTATTTTTAAATGACTTAAGTAATTCAATGAATTAATGTTCACTCTTTTATTCAGGAAAATTTACAAATAAGAGAGTATTCTGTTTATACCATTAACAGTTTTTACTTTTTTATTTTATCAACTTTTTTTCATACCAATTTAAAGCTTTTTTACTTCAAAACTCCAATTTTATTATTTTCACATGCTCTCTCCCTAAATTCCTGCAGTAGACTACACGGTAAAGTGATTGAATTAAATATAAGCTTTATGAAATAGACTGAGGCACATACATTTGTTTAGGTTAATATACTACTAATTGCACTGAAGATTCCTTTGTTTCCTGTGAGCTGCATCATCTGGTTTTCATCCAAACAATACAAACTAACACTTTCGAATACTCCACAAAACAGATACCATGAATTACATTAGCCAATGCAGTAACTTCACATCTCAGATGCTAATCAGAGGCTACCAGTCATGAAATAAATTAACTGCACAGGATATTTAAAAAAATTATTGATTTATTTTAAAATAGACAACACAGACATTAGGATGCAACATTGATCTATTGTGTGGCATTTTAATAATCAGAAATTATCTCGTTTTCTCAGTTATGCTCTGTCTTATATTTTTAAAAGAATCAAACACATCTCAGCTTTAGCTGTTGTCCTGAGGCCAGGAGCTATTAATTAGAGGGCTTGGTTTTGTAGAAGGCTGATGTGGAGCAAGGCTGGTTTGGCTGTTGATCCTGAAGCATTCTTTGGTTTTATAATGCAAGGTCAATTCATTTTTCTGCCTACATATTCCTGTCCTTGGGGAAAATGTTTATGATGATATTTTCAAATAAAATGTCAAGACTTAACAGCTCAATAGTTAATTATTTTTTATGTAATTCTTTCTATAAATTGAGTTATTGAGGAGAGAAATTCAATTATCTGTAAATGATTTGGTCAGGGCTCACTGAAAACTAGGAGAAACTTTCAGAAAGATAAAAGTACTTTTGCCACTGCTACCCTATGTAAAAAATTTGAGGGTGGTTTTTAGAATAATTCAAGATAATGCTTGGAATTATTGCTTATCACTCAAAACACTGTGCTACCTGTAGGTAAGAATTTGACTTGTTAATTTCTTATTCACCCTAAAATAAATAACAGGGTAGATACACAGGATGTATTCATGCACACATGTGTGCACACGGGCACACACACACACACACATACATTGTTACTATTGTTAAATAATGATGAAAATAAAATATTATTTGTATTTTTTATTTTGCATTTTATTCAAACACTATCACAAAGATGGAATAAAAAGAGACTCCTAAATTTACAAATTTTCTTTACATTGATTGAAAGGAAATTGCAAAAACAAAAAAGTGTTCCAAAACATTTGAATATTTAAAACGATTAGTTTACTTGCCATGCATGACATACACACAGCTGTGTCATTCTGGGAAATCATTACCAGGAGCCAATGTAGAATTTTTTTGTGTTTTTTGTTTGTTTGTTTGTTTGTTTGTCATGTATGGTTACAACAAAATACTGGAAGAGAAAATGGTAGCATTGTGACAATTTGTGTCAAAACACTTGCAAGGTTTAAATTTTAGGATTACTTAAATGTTATTAAATCTGTATTTTAAATTATAGCTTTCTTGAAAAAAAGCCACTAGCCCATCTTCACTCAGAATTACTTATAACAACTTTAAATTCCAAGGAAAAATATAACTTCATTGATTAACTTTGTTATAATTTTCTCCTGAATATACTACCCTAATTCTAACAAAGGCTTGTCACCAGGCTCTTAGATAGCTATAAAAGCTGGTCTTTGATTAAGTCCAAAGATGCTATGATGAGAAGAAGCACCTTGGGGACTTTGGAAAGTCTATTAAATCTTCACTCAAGAGAACTGGATTCAATTTCACTTCTGTAGCATGTGAACCAGGGAAAGTCACTTCACCTGTCAAAACTTCTGTAAAGTAGGGTTAATAATCTGTGCTTTTAAAAAGGTGTTCTAAAGCTCTGATAGTATGCCTAACTGAGATTACACAGTAAGATAATAAAGGCTTTTATAAATTCAAGTATTTCTTTATTATAAAGTGACCAACATTCATCTTTTCATAAAGAATATTTTGTTTTTTTGTTCATTATATTTCTATGCCTAAAGATTTAATTTCATTGGGTACTCTGAACTCTCCACATTCAATTTAAAAAATCAAACTATGCAAAATTTACTTAGGAAATAAGATAAATACATGCTGCTTTTCTTAACCAGCAGTCAACCCAAATAAGTACATCTGAACTCTTCTCAACAAAACTGAGGGGGGGGGGGGGAGGAGGAGAGGGAGTGGTTATGTTTCTATAAAAAATAAGGCACTTTCATGAACTACTTTAGCTTCTTGCAATAGAACTCAGATTCTAACGTAAGTGACAAAATATTTGTATAATCTTTAAAATATAATATAACCTATTTCTTAAATGCACATTTTAGGTATTAAAAGCAATTAAAAATAGATATTCAGTGTAAGAGTTAAACACCCTCTCATAGAATAGATGACATCTGAAGCAACTTGGCAGTACAGAAGTCTATGATCATTCAACCTCTAGTACATTTCATCTTCATATACCACTTCTAACTTTTCTGATAATTTTCAAAATTACAACTGCCTTGCATAGCATAATTCCTGAAAAACCAGGAAGGGATTATTAACACTTTGCTTTGATATTTGCCTTTTTATCTCCTCCTCTTCAAAGTCAATTGGATACATGAATTATGTTATCCTCTTCTAGATGTTTATGCCTTGTTCATTAAATTACTGAAGGTCTCAAGACCTAGTAGAGATTATTTTATTTTAAAAAGAAAAAACAATAATAATAAGTTGGTTTGTTTAATTATCCCAGTGCATAAGTTTAGCTTGAATAATTTTATACAAGGAAAACCAACTCCCTTATTCTTAGCACATAACCTTGACTGTCTCCTAAATCTCCCAGATTTCAAAATAAAAGTTTGAATGCCCACTGGAGTCAGTACCCAAAAGATTCAAGATCCAATGTGTTTCTTAGCAATGTATACCATTTAAGCAATACCTATACAGATATAATAGTACTACAAAAGCTGTTTGTTTGTTTTTTCCTGTCAGTGAATCACTTTATTCAGGCAGATCACTAGGATTTAAACCTTAGTAGAGGCAAAGATGAAATTATCTCTGGTAGTCAGTTTCTTTTGCAAAGATTGAGTTTTAAGAGCTAACCCAGCTCCATCTCAGTTAACACACACACACACACAAAAGTAATTCCTTGAGAGAAATCCTAGCTATTGTCTGATTACGTTACATGAATATTCCTCCTCCTATTTAACCCTTTGAAATCTCCTGTCCTCAGGAAATAATACCATCACCTCTAAGGGAAGCATTTTGCACTTTCTTTACCCCAGTGCCTCTACAGCTGGCCAAAGAGCCAGATCATCTCACAGAGCTGGACAGTTATCTCTCGGCCACACCCCCACCCCCTGAAGAAGTTGACTTCATCGTTTCCACACTTAACATTCTTCATTCTGCCCAACAGGAGGGAACCAAGCAGGGAGGCAGTAGGGAAAGAGGAGGAGGGATGGGAGTCTGATGGAGAGCAAAAAGGTACAGAGCAGTAATTGGCAAGGAGGAATTTGCACCTCATCTTCCCTGGGGGCGGGGTGGGGCCGGGGTGGGGAGGGAGTTAAAAATAAATAAATAAATAAAGCGGTAGGGGAGCCATGTAACTCAAAGACAGTTATTGTACCTAATGCCAGTAGTTTTCGGGTCCTGCTTCTTCAATGGATCAATGACAACCGCAGTCGCCGGCTGGACCAGAGGGGAGGCTCACGCCCGGCGCTCCTGGACCATTCCCCTGGCAATGGGAGGAGAAAGGCGGCTCAGACCCGCGCGCGCCCCCGCGCCCTCCGGAACCTGCCCCGGCTGCGTGGCGAGGCAGCGGCCCCGCATCTTCCCGCGGCTCCGTCAGCAGCCCGAAGGAGAAGCGTCCATCGGAAAAATGGCATATTACAAATTTTGCTTTGGGAAGCAGAGCTCGGTTCAGACCATTGTCAAAGGGAGGAGAGGGGGAGGCGGCTCTTAAAGCAGCAGCGGCCCCTTTGCCAGAGCCGCCCCAGCTCCACGCGTGCCGCCGGACACCCGGCGCGGGGAGCCGGGAACTGGGGGCTGGGTTGGACCTGTAGAAACTTAATCTAGTGGCACTGCTCCCCGTCCAGGTCCAAGCCACCCGCAGGGTATCTCCCCCAACCTGAGCTTCGGGGGGCGTGGGAGGGGGGAGGATGCTGAGTAACTGGCAGGGAAGTTCTCCACCACGTCCCCCTCCGGAGTTGACCGCTGACGCCCCAAGTAGGAACGCTACAGGGAAGCGAGTCCCCAGGGATGCGAGAGGCAGGACAGGTCCCCTCCTGGCCCCCAGCCTATTTCCGCGCTACGGTGTCTTGTTTCGCTAAAAAAAAAAAAAAAAAAAAAAAAAAAAAAAAAAAAAAAAAAAAAAAAAAAAAAAAAGTCCTTCTCCGGAAAGGCAAGCGGTCAACCCCCCACACACCCCGTTTCTCCTCCCAGCCTCTTTGCAAGCCTCCTTGCCGGCATCCGTGGGCCGGGAGGACCAACCTGCCGGGAGCCGCTGTGGATGCTACAGCATCTCTCCTCACTTGCCTCTCGCTGTTGCTGCTGCCGCTGCTCCTCCTCCGTCTCTCCCCCTCCTCCTCCCTGGCAGCAGCCACCTCGTCTTCCTCTGGAACAAGGGCTTCCCCTGGAAGCTGCTGCAGTGGTTTCCACCGGCCCTTAAATAAATTCTGAAGTAATCACGTCTTCGCTCTCCCCTCCCCACGCACACGCGCTCGCGGATACACACGACTGCCCCGAAGCCGCTGCCAGGCTGCTGGGCTCGCGCGGGTCCCCGTGCCCCCCGGCGAAGGCGGGAGCTAGGGATGGGCAGGTGTGGGGCGGGGGCAGGCTCTTCCTCACCGAGCCTCCCCCCACACAATGGTCCTCGCTGGAAGCCGTGTGTCTGCCCGCGCTGCTGGGGAGGGGAATGTGCTGGGGCACCTTCTGGTTCTCCCGTCTCCCGTGCTCATGTCTTTAAGCAGCTTCCTTCTCCCAGGACGAGGCATGACAGTCACGGTTGTAAAGACTTGAGTCAATCCAGGGTGTGGCGGCATCTGTCACTTCTCATTAGCTCTCCGGTTCCTCTCCATTCATTGCTTTGGCGATGAGGATTGTGTGTTAAGTACTCCCTGCCCTAGTAAATTTCAGATTTGGGCGAAGTCTGGTCTCCATAGAGTTCTAGTTTCTCTATACCTACATGTCCTTTTACCCATTCTCCTTTCCTTCTTCATTCATACAAACCCATCTCAGCAGGGGCAGGGAGGAAGCAGAAGACAAAACCAGTACCTACTCTCAGCAAAAGAGAAAACGTTTCAGTGTGGGAAATGTACATATCCCAGTTTCCATGAAAAGAAAGAGGGTGTGCAGAAGGGAATTGGGAAAGGGGTTTTAAACATTAGGAATAATTTTGGGGTTCGTGCAAGTACCTTCAGGACATAGTGCAGTAAATCTAAAAGGTATGTTTTACTTTTGTTTAAAGCCAAGAGTCACAAGCTAACTAATGAAATAATACTCAAATACCAGCTCCCTTAAGCACAATATTCAAGATACAGATCTTTCATTTTGAGGGTAGCATTTCATTCATTTAGTGACTCCACCATGACATGTGACGTCAAGTACCCCCTTCCCAGCCTCTTCTAGATTATTATTCAAATTCTGAATCACAAAATAATTCTGTAAGAATTAAACATAGAATAATATGAAGATCTATTATATGTCAACTGGAACACTTTCCCAAATTTAATGTACACGTAGACCATTCATGGATCTTATTAAATTTCAGATTATGATTCACTAGGATTTGGGGTGGACCCTGAGTTTCTGTATTTCTAACAACTCCCAGATGGGACCACACTGTGAGCAGCGAAGTTCCAAACCATCCTATCATGTCATCCTTTGCTGTGACTTAAATACTCTTAACCATAAGAAGCCCATTAGCACACAAGGCAGTCCAGTCCATTTTCAAATACATCTGATATATGCTTTATATATGATAAAGATGATAGCTTTATCATATTAATCAGATATCAGCACTCATAACTCTCACTCTCTAAAATTCCCCAGAAGACATAAAATGTCCTTATACATGATAGACCTTCACATTTTTTTTTTGCATTTTCTTTTTTTTTTTTTATTCTTAAAGTATTACAAAGGGTATTACATATGTGTCCATTTTATCCCCCCGCCCTAGACAGTCCCCTAGCCTCCCCTATCCCCCAATGTCTTAAGTCCACTGGTTATGCTTCTATGCATGCATACAAGTCCTTTAGTTGATCTCTTACCCCCCTAGACCTTCACATTTTAAAAGACAGTTAATATGTCTCTTTGAGAATTCCTTCCTTCTTAAACCTTGGCTCTAATTTCTTTGGTAGTAAACATTTTTCAAATACAGGGTCATTTCCAGCAAAAGTCTTGATTTGCCTGACTCCCATTCGCATATCAAATAAAAGTTTTAATTCTAAGTATAAACCCTGTACATTCAGTTGATATAACAGAGTTGAAAGTCTACTCCATAGTTGGTATCACAGAAAAGAAGAATTTGATAATGGAAGGCAGAGAATAGTTGTGAAGTAAAAGATATTTAATTAAGAAGATATAGTCTTTATGGATACTCTCAGCTTAGAAACTATACATTCTAATTTTATCATTCCCAACATTATGGCCAAGAGTGTAAATAACATTTTCTATCAAACTGAGAGGCATTATTAAGAAGCAATTTTGCAGAAAACATCAGGTAAAACAATTCACATGAAAAAAGTCACTCCCTGCACCAGTTATTCAAGTTTAGTGACCCTCTAACTTAGCATGCAAGAGAATGTCCAAAGGGCTTGTTACAATACATATTTCCAGGTCAGGCCCCACAATTTCATACTCAGTAGGTCTGTGGTGTGGCCAGAGATTTTGCATTCCTAATAAATTCCTAAGTAATGCTAATAATAGTGATAGGTCAGAAATCCAACTTTCAGAACCACTGATTAAATTAATCTGAAGAAATTAACCTGAACAAAAAATATTTTTTGTTTTGTACACTAAGTATTTATTCTACAGAATAAGAAAAACAACTGATAAATATTTTCACTCAGGACAAAAATCTCTCATACAAATATAAAACCAATTATTATGTTGACTTTATCATCTACTCCTACTAGTTTTTGATAGGTAAGAATCAATGTTTAAGATGAAATAGCTTACCTCTTAAATAGTCAACTATTTGTTACTTCTTTCATTAGTCTAAGTACCTAACATCAATGAAATGAGTTACTCCATAGAGGCATACAGTATTGTCAGCCATACTCACTAATTCTTCTACTGTATTTTATTTCAAATATGAGTATTCTTGTCTATATACTCTTTAAGTACAACCACTCTCATTTTCACTATGATGGCTATTCTTTCCATCTCTTTAGATATTCTACATATTGTGTGTTCTGTTAGTAGTAAAAATGATCCTATATAATAAAAACCTAATATGCTAAGTGTCTGGTCGTCCATTCAACCAATCAAAGCTTAATATGCTAATGATAAACTAAGGCCACTCAACCGCTCGCTATGATGTGCAATGACCACCAGGGGGCAGATAGTGCACCAGTCACTATGACGTGCATTGACCACCAGGGGGCAGACGCTCCAACCGGTAGGTTAGCTTGCTGCTGGGGTCTGGCCTATCGGGACTGAGCGAGACGGGCTGAACACGTCCTGAAACTCCCCCACCCCCTGCAGTCCCTCTCGGGCTGGCCAACCTCCCGCATCCCTCCCTGGCCCTGATCGTGCACCGGTGGGGTCCCTCGGCCTGGCCGGCACCCTCTCGCAATCCAGGACCCCTTGGGGGATGTCGGAGAGCTGGTTTCGGCCCAATCCTGCAGGCCAGGCTGAGGGACCCCACTGGTGCATGAATTTGTGCACCAGGCTTCTAGTAGTAATAATAATAAGAAGAAGCACTTGTTTTATTTAAATCAAATATAGTTTTGTTTGTAAAGATACAGTTTACTTAAATCAAGCACCAAAGAAAATGGGTAATTAAGCATGGGCCATGACAATAATAGCAATTTAGTAAGTGGCAGTAATTTTCTTTTAAGTACAAGAATAATTTTCATGCAAAATGAAAACAAGTAATATTAGTTGTAATAGACATGTTGATATTAATATCACCTCATTTCAACTATATAGCTACCCATTTATGAAAATACTTCACCTATATTCATAATAGTTTATATTAACATTATTAAAACAATTAAATGACATTTTGTTTTTTATTTTTTATGCTACATATTACTCTTCTTATTTGTCTAAAGAAGCAAACTACAGAATATGAAAGCTATATTAAGCACACACTTGCTGACTCTTGTGCCTCCACTAAATGTATAAGTATTAATTCTCACAAAATAAATTGTTGTGAAAGGCTACATTAATCAACCTTTATCTATGCATTTATATGGAATTACTGTAAAATGTAGCAATTTGACGAATAGTCACCAAGATTTCAACTCATAACTAAGAATGTCTTAGTATTACAGAAGAGCAAAAACTGTTATTTTTTGAAGTCAAGGTGTGATAAAAGAAAACAAGTTTTAGAGATTTTTTTGCATTCTTTAATGCTATCAGACATCAATGTAGGAGCAATATAAGGGCTCTAAAATAAGTTAAATAGTGTTGGCTTTTGGAATATTTTTTATTCTTTTTAAAGGACAAAATAACATTATAGAAAATATATTTTCTTTTTAATCCCTGAGATCAAATATTAAAAGGGAAAAAACATTCTACTTATATTCTCTAATTGTTTTTAGAGAGAAGATTTATTCTAACATAAACCCTCATAATAAAGATTTTCATTCCTGCCTTTATTCCAATTCAGGCAACCTCACTTTGTAATTAAAGAATTATGGTATATTATGCTGGGAGTTTTAATCTAGTTACAGTTTTACAGATGAATAAAATAAAAGTCAGTAGAATTAATTCCTGGGTTTTCAAATGAAGTGTCTAAAGAAGCTAGGCAGGTACTTTTTAACTTCTATTAAACATAAATCTT